GAAGACGACTCCGAAATGGAGTTTCGTCGGTTTTATTAGCTCCGTTGGGTGATTTTGGACTTAGGAGCGTGTCCGGATTGCTAATTGGAGTCTGTAACTGAATTAGGCTTGAAATGACGAAAGTTAAATTTTTGGGAAGTTTCACCGGGAGTGGACTTTTTGATATCGGGGTCAGATACCGATTTCGAAAGTTTGAGTAGGTCCGTAACGTCGAATATGACTTGTAAAATTTGAGGTCAATCAGACGTGATTTGATATGTTTCGGCATCGGTTGTAGAAGTTTGAAGTTTTAAAGTTCATTGAGTTTGAATTGGAGCATGATTCATATTTTTGGCATTGTTTGATGTGATTTGAGGGCTTGACTAAGTTCGTATAGTATTTTAGGACTTGTTGGTATATTTGGTTGAGGTCCCAGGGGGCCTCAGGTGTGTTTCGGATCATTTTCGAATTAATTTTTGACTTATGAGAAATTGCTGAAGCTCTTGAACTTCTGGTGTAATCGCACCTGCAATGAGGTTGACCGCAAGTGCGGACACGCACGTGCGTGAGGTCAAGTGCAGAAGCGGGATTTGAATGGGTGGCCAGGGGTCGCAGGTCCGAGGGAAATCGTAGATGCGCTAAAGGATCCGCAGATGTGGAGAGTGAACTGGAAAGGGAAGTCCGTAAATGCGGTCAATTGTCCGCAGGTGCGCACACGCAGGTGCGACCACTTGACTGCAGAAGCGAGCCCCGGTGTCTTAAGTCAATTGCAAGCCTGCGATAGAAATTCTGTATGTACGGCGTCGCAGGTGTGATTAAGGGTCCGCATGTGCGAGATCACTAGGCAGAAAAGGGGAAATTACGAGGGTTTGATCTCATTTTTATTTTGGGACTTTGAGGGCTCGAATTTGGGCGAAAATTTGGGGAATTTTAAGAGGAAACTATTGGGTAATGATTTTTAACTTATTCATGGTTATATTCATTAATCTATTGTTGATTTCATCATTTAATTAAGGATTTGGGTTGAGAAATTTGGGTAAAAAGTTAGAAAGTTGTTCAACCAAAATTTTGAGTTTTGATTGGGATTTTGATATCAGATTTGAGTAATTTTGGTACGAGTGAACTCGTGACGGAATGGGTGTTTATATTTTGTGACTTTTACCCAATACCGAGACGTGGGCCCGGGTCGACTTTTGGGGCGATTTTCTAATTTCTTGCTAAAGTCTTTATTTCATTAATTAGATTAGTTTGTTATAGTTATATTTATGGTATGTAATTGATTTGGCTAGATTTGGGCCATTCGGAGTCGGAAAGTCGTGGAAAAGGCGTTCTTATTGATTAATTGAGCTTGGTTCGAGGTAAGTGGCTTACCTAACTTTGTGTGGGGGAAATCCCCTTAGGATTTAGTGATGTTGTGATACTTTTGTGATATGTGAGCACAGTGTACGCTAGGTGATGAGTGCGTACACGGGCTAATTGTTGTAAAATCTGCTTTTTACTAAACAGTAACATGTTAAATGAGTTATTCTAACATGTGTAGTTATCATGTTTAACCTAATATCTCATGTCTACGTATCTTAAATGCTTATTTGAACTCTGTGCAGACTTGTACTTAGTCTTAAACTATAGGATTACTTGTTGAAATTGTTATTTCCATCGATTTCGAGCTGCGTGTTTACTTTTGGGACTACGAGGCGGTACCTCGGGAGATTCCCTATCACATATTTACTTTTGGGACTACGAGACGATATCTAGAGAGATCCCCTGCTGCATATTTACTTTTGGGACTACGAGACGGTATATCGGGAGATTCTCCTGCATATTTACTTTTGGAACTACGAGGCAGTACCTCGGGAGATCCCCTATCGAGCATTTACTTTTGGGACTATGAGACGGTATCTCGGAGCACCCCTGTCGTTATCTCTATGAGTTGTGCCATTATTTTCCTGTAAGATTCCCCTTGTTAGATTCTTAGCCTTTTCACATTATTATATCTACTGTCTTACTTATTATATACCAGTATGGCCCTGAACTGACCTCGTCACTACTCTACCGAGGTTAGGCTTGACACTTACTAGGTATCGTTGTGGTATACTCATACTACTCTTCTGCACATATTTTGTGTGCAGATCTAGGTACCTCCTATCAGCCCCGCTATTAGTTGCGTGCTTGCTGCTACTCCAAAGACTTCAAGGTATATCTGCCAGCATCCGCAGACCTCTGAGTCCCCTCTATCTCTTTTACGTTGTTCCTCCTTTATTTCTACTAGTTACCGATGTATAGAATAGTTAGACAAATTCATAAAGCTTGTGATTTGTGGCTACCGTCTTTTGAGAATATTGTTTATACCCGAGTGTTGGCTATTGTACATGCTGAGCAACATTTTATCATTTTATAGTTATATGTTGTAGTCTAGTTGTTGAATTATATTTTTATTTCTGTTATTCCGCAAATTGTTAGGCTTACCTAGTCGTAGAGACTATGTGTCCTCATGACATCTTACAGAGGGAGATTTGGGTCGTGACTTAAATTAAAAATATCCAATTTTTATATAACAATAAAAGAAGAAGAAGAGTATTGAAGTGAAAAGTAGAGAGATAGAGAATTCTTATTGATTTAAGATGAATTACAATGGAATAGAATCCCTCTATTTACAGGGAAAAAGTGACTTAGCCACCAAGTAACAAACCCTAATATCTCTCTAAAATATAAACATACACCTTAAATATAATTCTATTTATAACACTCCCCCTTGAATATCTATTCAACATATAATGTGCTTCATTAAAACCTTAACTAAAATATAACCTAGTGGAAAAAAATTCTAGTGAAGGAAAAAGAGTACACATATTTAGAAATATGCCTTTTGGTTAAAAACCTTGCAAGGAAAATCTAGTGGGACGAAACCTTGTAACGGAAAAAAGAGTACAACGTGTATTAACTCCCCCTGATGAGAGTATTAATTCACATCCTTGAATCTTGTACACTAGCTTCTTGAAAGTTGACATCGGTAGAGATATGGTGAACAAATCAACCATATTAACTTGAATGAATATGTTGCACATTGAAATCATTCCCTATAGATATGAATTGTCTTCATATGATCTTGTTGGATCGTCATTTAAATATCATCACATAGGGGCAAAAACTCTTGCTATCATATTATCATGCATATAGTTATAGCAGGATACATTTATGAACAAATTGCACTGAGGATGTGGTACTTCAAGATCAAGAATTGTATATTCTTTAAGCAATTTAAATCCTTTGGGGATTGTATAAGTATAGTCAAATAAGACATTTAAATAGACTTTAGATGCATATCAACTTTCATGCCATGCTAGACATATAAGATAAATATTGCACACACCATTGACTTTATACTTTCAAGTGTTTGAACTGCATAGCCAAAACTACATGTCTTTCATATGAAACCAATTCTATTTGAATTGTGTCTCTTCCATTTGGCCAATATTTTTGTGTCTGTATTCTACAGACTTAAGATCCTCATCTATACTTAGTGCTATCATAGATGTCGTCGACGAATATTATATATTGGTTCCAATATTTTTTCGTAAAGACATAACATAAAGATCTCTTTATTCATATTTTCAAGTACCTGAACCACTCCTGAAATTTTATGAAGTATTATGTCATCCAATCTTTTAGATCACTTGCCTCATTGTTATGATCATTTTGATCACTTTCTCATCTTCTTTATCAAGAATTTTATTTGAAACCGATTTGTCTATATGCTTTAAGCATACTACAGACTTTGTCTTTCCAGGACTTATTCTAATAGGAGCATTTGCAGTGAGAATATAGTTACTTTCTTTGCGTTAGCAAATGCGTCAGGCATGCTTTGTAATATATTGCAGAAGAATTATTTTTTTATGAATTTTAAGTTCATATTATTTAATTCTAGGATCTAGATGTACATATGATAATTCATTCCACGTAACTTTTTCTCAACTGTTTATCCTGTCTCCCCCTCATATTAGAAAAACTAACTTGCTTCGTCAACTTTGGAAACCCACCTTTGTGCGTTATGATGTTAATCAAAATATACACCGCACATTAATAATAATAGAATGCAATTATTCGGTTCTGACCCTGAACCACTTGTGAGGGGAGAATATAATATACTTTCGTATATAACCTATATCAAATTGATAAAGAAACATATGTTCTCATAAGCAATCGTTTGGATATTAAGTGGAGGCACTCAATAAATTATTTTGCTAAACCAACTGTGATGTAAACCAACTTATCAAGATGAACTGTCTTTAATAGAAAATCTGAAAATTATGCTCTAAATTAAATTATTGAGCAAGTTACCTCACAAACACCAGTTAGCGGGTTAATAATAACCGCACGTGTAACCATCTCATAGATGCATCTTATGTGGTATACATGGCAGGTGAATGTGCCCATATTCACCTTTGATATTTCCAGCATTCATGAGATTCAATCCCAATTTTAGTTGGTGTATTAATTAATGAGAGCAAGCAACATAAGAGAATTCATAAAGAACTTTCTAGTTCTTTAATATTTACCCATGTGAATTCTCTTTTGTTTTTGCACATCATACTTAAATTAATAGGGCTAATCGAATTATGCCAACTGAATAAATTATCAATATTGATAAACTTTAGGATTATACTATGACGTGTGCAATTATTAATAAACTCTAAGTTTATTATGATATGGGTTTTTATATCAATAAACTTCTACTTTATTGTGGCATTTTTTTAATTTGCGTTGTATAAATTGGAGAATAAAGCGGGTAGATTTTCACATACATATTACCCCGCTATAAGTTGTAGTAATAGAATATATTAAATTGTTCCTTTATTTATATTCTCAATATAACCAACCGCTTTTGCGATTAATTTAGAAACTAAATAATTTTCTTTGAGACTTACTATGACACAATATTTTATTGATAATCAATCCTCCTAAATAGTAATAATTGGCTCTTCTAGAGCTTTCAATTAATTTTGTACTACCACATTGGAGCGATGTCAGGGGGGTATGATGATGTGCATGGTGGCTTTGGTTTTGGAGATAGAAACGGAGGAGGAACGTCTCTTCTGGACTTTGCTAGAGAATTTGATTTGGTGATAGCAAACTCGAGTTTCTCGAAGAAGAGGGAGCACTTGGTCACCTTCCGGAGTTCGGTGGCTGAGACTCAGATTGATTATTTACTATGTAGGAAGTCTGATAGAGGTCTTTGCACGGATTGCAAGGTCTTCCCAATTGAGAACCTCTCGACCCTTCCTAGACTCCTGGTTATGGACCTTGATATCATGAGGAAGAGGAGGAAGAGGGTGATGTATAGCCAACATAGGATCAAGTGGGGAGCCTTAGCGAAAGCTAAAGCGCAGGAGTCGAGGGTCAAGCTGGTGACTATGGGGGCTTGGAGGAGTAGTGGGGATGTAAGTTCTATGTGAACCATGACTGCGCAGTGCATTAGGGAAGCCGCAGGTGAGGTATTAGGGATCTCAAAGGGTTACTCTGGTGTTCACAAGAGAGACTAGTGGTGGAATGGAGAGGTGCAAAGAAAAGTGGAAACCAAGAAAGCAGCGTATATAAAGCTAGTGGAAGTGTAGACGAGGAGGAGAAGAGAGCAAATATGGAGCATTATAAATTGGCTAAGAAAGAGGCGAAACTAGTAGTTACGGCAGCCAAAAATGCAGCTTTTAGTTGTTTGTATGAGGAACTAGAGGGCTAAGGTCGGGATAAGAGATTGTTCAGGTTATCCAAGGCACGAGAAAGAAAGGCGCATGACTTGGACCAAGTGAAGTGCATCAAGAACAAATAAGGTAGAGTTTTGTTAGATAAGGGGCTTATCCGTCTGAGATGGCAGACCTGCTTCTATAGTCTCTTGAACGAGGAAGGGGACATGAGCATTGTTCTAGGTGATTTGGAACTCTCGGGGAGTCGTTGTGACTTTGGGTATTGTAGGCAGATTAGAGTTGATGAAGTTGAGGGGGCTATGCATAAGATGAGTAGGGTCAAAGCGACCCAGCCATATGAAATCCCAGTGGAGTTTTGGAAGAGTGCAGACAAGGCAGGCTTGGAGTGGCTCACTAGGTTATTTAATGTCATTTTTAGAACGAAGAAGATGCCTGAAGAGTGGAGGTGGAGTATGATGGTTCCTGTATACAAGAACAAGGGTGATATCTAAAATTTCAATAACTATCAGGGTATCAAGCTGCTTAGCCACACTATAAAAGTCTGGGAGAGAGTGGTAGAGCTAAAGGTGAGGAATAAGGTGTTTATTTTCGAGAACCAGTTTGGGTTTATGCCTGGGCGTTCGACTATAGAAGCCATCCACCTTGGTAGGAGATTGATGGAGCAGTATAGGGAGAGAAAGAAAGACTTGCATATGGTATTCATCGACTTAGAAAAGGCGTACGATAAAGTTTCGAGAGAGGTTTTATGGAGATGTTTGGAGGCTAGAGGTGTACCTATTGCCTATGTAGGCTGATTAAGGACATGTATGATGGAGTAAAGACCCAAGTGAGGATGTTAGGTAGGGTCTCGGACAATTTTTTGGTTATGATGGGTTGCATCAGGGGTCGGCACTCGGCCTTTTTTGTTTGCTCTGGTGATGGACGTACTGACGTGCCACATCCAAGGGGAGGTGCCATGGTGCATGCTATTTGCAGATGATATTGTATTGATTGATGAGGTGAGAGACGGTGTGAACGCACAATTAGAGGTATGGAGGCAGACCCTGGAATCTAAAGGTTTTAAGTTGAGCAGGACCAAGACAGAATATTGGAGTGTAAGTTCAGTGGCGAGACTCAATGGGGGAAGGGGAGGTAAAGCTAGACTCGTAGGTCATCCCTAGGAGAGGAAGTTTTAAGTACCTTGGGTCGATTATTTAGGGGGATGGGGAGATTGATGAAGATGTCACACATCGTATTGGGGCGAGATGGATGAAACGGAGACTCACTTCCAGTGGTTTATATGATAAGAAGGTGCCACCGAAACTTAAGGGTAAGTTCTACAGAGTGATGGTCAGAGCAACGTTGTTGTATGGGCTGAGTGTTGGTTAGTCAAGATTGCTCATGTCCAGAAGATGAAGGTAGCGGAAATGAGGATGTTGAGATGGATGTGCGGGCACACCGGGTTAGATAGGATCAGAAATAAGGTTATTCACGATAAGGTGGGTGTGGCTCCTATTGAGGACAAGATACGGGAAGCGCGTCCTAGGTGGTTTGGTCATGTGAGGAGGAGGAGCACAGACGCTCCGGTGAGGAGGTGTGAGAGGTTGACATTGGAAGGCCTACTGAGAGGTAGAGGTAGGCCAAAGAAAAGGTGGGGATAGGTGATTAGGTAAGACATGGCACAACTTCAGCTGACCGATGACATGCCCCTTGATAGGAAAGTATGGAGGTAGAGGATTAGGATAGTAGAATAGGTAGTCTAGAGTGTTCATAACAGTAGTATTGGCACACAGCCTCGCTTTCTGTAGGCAGTAGGTTTTTATGACTAACCATTATTTTCCTTTATTGTGGATTACCTTATTACCTTGTTGTTTTTATTCTGCTTTTATATGGCTTTTTAGTACTGTCCTTTCTTGTCTATATTTTCATTAATGTGGTTCTTATGCTTTCTTAAGCCGAGGGTCTATTGGAAATAGCCTCTCTATCTTCACAAGGTAGGGGTAAGGTCTGCGTGCACACTACCCTCCCTAGACCCCACGGTATGGGATAAGACTGGGTATGTTGTTGTTGTTGTACATATTCATCAACATCCATATGGTAAATATCTCTTTCAAGGAGAAAGTTATACCATTATGGTCATGGTCAAAATAATTATAGGCAAAATATGTTGCTTCTATTACTTTTGCCATGTAATAATAATACTTTGGCATAATCACAATATGTACGTGATCAATGACCATTCATGCCATAATAATAAAATTATTTTCTTATTTCGTCTCAAACCTATTTCTAGAGATTAGTGTGGTATATTCACTACCACTAGCACATTCATATTCTTCCAAGAATAAATATGTATTCATAAATCACATATTGTCACATACACATTATGAATAGACCATAATCATCTATATGTGCTTTACAAAATCTCATGTCAAATCGATGACACATATTATTTTCACAAGTGAAGGATTATTTTGAGAATCCTTATTATTGTCATTACCACAATGATGATGATTATAATTTCGTCTATTGCCACGTCCACATATATTGATACCTTTACGGTAATAATTTTGTCTCTTTCAGACTTATCACATATTGGTACCACATTCTCTTAAGGAAATGAGAATGAAGCAAATTCAATGGGACAGATTTCAACTTCTTGTGCCCATAACCATATATGAATTTGATTGTCACGATCCAAATTCTCCCTCTATGAATTATCATGACAGCACCTAGTCTCTACAACTAGGTAAGCCTAACATTTGCGGAAAATGAAATGAAAACATAAAAGTTAACAACTAACAATAACAGATAATTTAAATAAACATTTGATATATCGTTCGGCATATACAATAATCAACTCTCGAAATATACACAAACTCTCCCAAGACCCAGAACACCGTAAGTCATAAGCTTCTAAGAATTTCTAAATGTTCTATACATCAGTGTTTAAAGAAATAAGAGAAGAATCGAAATAAGGGAATAGAGGGGGACTCCGAGGTCTGCGGACGTGGACAGATGTACCTTGAAGTCTCCGAAACAACAACGACTGTGCAACTAAAAGCGGAGATGGTAGGAGGTACCTGGATCTGCACACGAAAACATGTGCTGAAGAGTAGCATGAGTATACCACAACAATACCTGGTAAGTGTCAAGCCTAACCTCGATCGAGTAGTGACGAGGTCATGTCAGGGCCCTACTAGTAAAAGAGTGTATATATATAATAAGACGGAACAAAATATCATTGTAAAATAAAGACTGAAATTTATGGAAGGAAATCACAGAAAGGATAATAGTACAGTATACAAAATAGCAACAGGGGATCTCCAGAGATACCGTCTCATAGTCCCAAACATAAATGTGCAAGGGGATCTCCCGGAATACCGTTATGTTATCCCAAAGTAAATATACAAGAGGATCTCCCGGGATACCGTCCCGTAGTCTCAAAGTAAAAGTGCATGGGGGATCTCCCGGAATACCGTTATGTTATCCCAAAGTAAATATACAAGAGGATCTCCCGGGATACCGTCCCGTAGTCTCAAAGTAAAAGTGCATGGGGGATCTCCCGGAATACCGTTCCGTAGTCCCAAAATGAATATGCAGCTCAAATAATGAAAATAACAATTACAACAGAGATCCTACAGTTTATACTAAGTACAAGTCAAGAGAAAAGCAGGAAAATTCACTAAGCATGCTGCACAGAGTTCAGATAAGCATTTAAGACACGTTGACATGCTATTCTAAGCTAAACAGGATAATTACACATGCTGATATATCTCAAATAAGAAGAAATAGGTTATTAACTAGTAAAAATCAGATTTTACAACAAATAGCCCGTGTACGCCCTCATCACCTCATGTACACGACGCTCACATATCAAAATAATACCAAATCCTAAGGGGAGTTCCTCCACACAAGGTTAGGCAAGCCACTTACCTCGAACTGAGCTCAATCAATCGATAACAATGCCTTTCCCACAAATATCCGACTCTGAATGGCCTAAATCTAGCCAAAATCAATTACATATTATAAATACAACTATAATAGACTAATCTAATTAATAAAATCAAGACTTTAATAAGAAATTCGAAAATCGCCCCAAAAAGCCTCCCCGAGCCCACGTCTCGAAATATGGTAAAAGTCACAAAATATGAATACTTATTCACTCACAAGTCTAACTATAACAAATTTACTCAAATCCAATAACAAAATCCCATTCAAAACCTCGAAATTCTAACTCAAGAGTTCTTCCTTCCTTTTCCCTAAATTTTCACTCCAAATCACAAATTAGATGATGAAATTAAAGACATAATCATGGGATTTAGCCAAAACCAAGTAAGAATCACTTACCCCAATCAACTCCACGAAAATCCCTTCAAGAATCGCCCAAATCCGTGGTCTCTAGATCAAAATATGAATAATGGGTTCAAACCCTCATTTTTGAAATTTTATATTATGCCCAGTGATTCCTTAATCACGATCGCGGAAATAGCCTCGCGATTGCGAAACACAACTTCACTGCCCCAGAGATTAACTCTATATGAACACGAAAAATAGCACGCGAACGCGATATACTGACTGCTCACACCTACGCGATCGTGTCTGTCCTCATGCTACCGCAAAGAGTAACACTTGAACTCCATTGCTGCCTCACTTCCTCTTCGCGAACGCGGCCTAGCCCATGTGTTCGCGATGCACAACCTGAAAACCTTACTCTTAGATGCCCTACGCGATCGCAATGAAGAAAAAGTTTACAAAACAATTCCAGAAAATCTGCTATCTTTCACAAGTCCAAAATGATCCGTTAAGCATCCGAAACTCACCCGAGACCCCCCGGTGTCACGACCCAAACCGATGAGCCACGACACGCACCCGGTACCTTACTCAACCGAGTACCAACATAACATATCTTTTCATGCTATACTATCATAGATAACTGAGCTTGAAGGCTGCAGTGAAATAGGTAGAATACAACATGTAATACAACCTTATACATAAAACATATGGGCCTCTAAGACCAAAATAACCACTTGTATACTAAACATAGGCCGACAAG